AGGACAACCTTACCCACCGTGGATATCTCAAGGTTAAAAATGATCACAGGTAGTTACATTAGCCTTATCTAATAGTGGTTTATTTCATTTTATTTACTATATACATAAAAAAAAATACCAATTTCAATAATTTGATTCATTATCAAATACAAAAATGTATCTGTTCAAGATCTACTTAGCAAGTAATAGTTACCCTATGCTGAAAAAAGAATTTTTGAAAAAGTAAAGAAAAGGGGTAATTTAAATAGTAGAGCAATAATAGGAAATTGGAAAAACATTTTATGATGTGAAACATACCTTAATAAAAATGATGTGATACTTTTGTTGGGAAAAAACGACGATAACATAAAAATAATTCACTCATTGCAGATTATTAGTGTGATACTGAAAAACGTTTTTCCTTTACGAAATCCCCTAAACAGAATTAAAATAATTATCTTAATGAATAATACTTTGGAAAAATTGTGGTTTTGAATTAATTTAGATACATCTACGTATTTCCCTGTAAAAGGACATTATTATCCGACTGTTTGCTACTTTCCTAATACCACAACACACATATCTGTGAACATAATCTTTTATTCGAAGAAAGAGTTTATGAAAACTGACACATATTATTCTCAAAGTGGAATATCTTTTCAACTTGCCGTTTTTACCTAATTTTTCTATGGGTCTATATTCAAAATAATATAGTTAGATAAGAAAAAACAAAGAATGAAGCTTGGCATTCATGTAATTACATGCTGAGCATTGGATTGTAATTGCAATGCAATTATGATGAATATATTAAAAAATTTTAAGGCTTAAGGGAAATTATTTTACCCGAAAAATGATTTTTTTTTTCGTTAAATTAGATTTAAAACGAAAACAAGTCAGAATGAGTAGCAAATGCTGATTTTTCTCAAAAAGGATAAAAGATAATCACAAACAACAAGAAGAGGTGCTTCTTCTACTATAAGCGACACAATAATATGGCCTTCAAACATTATACAGAAACAACACTGACATTCATTAACTGGTTCGACGTGCAGCTATATTATATAGCAACAATGCTGACAAGCATTCACTGGTACTACATGCTGCTGTGTTCCCAAATGGTGCCTGTTGGAGAAATGGAGGACGTCTCGCTCTAGAATAACTACATTAAATGTAGAATAGGCAAATCTTAACACGTCGAAGCCGACAAGTTTACCTTGTTACTAATGAAGATGGATAGTGTTTGCATTTACATTAGCGAATATTGACTGCGTACCAGGTCGAGACATGTTTCGATATCACAAACTAGTCAAAACATTTACTAAATTTTATCATCGGTACAAGGACATCATTCGTAAATATAAATTAACATGAAGTCATCTTATACGTTCAGGTATTTCACATCCAATCCTTTATTGTAATATTCTTTACAAAGCACAAAAATGTCGGCATTCACCTCAAAAGCTAACCAAACCTTTAAACAGACTTATTCGGAAGGGATATAGTTACGATACTGTTGTCAAGTCATTAAGGATTGCATATTTTGTTATTAATATTTATTCACTCATGGGGTCTTTGCATCGGAAATAAACACATTTATTCTAAAACCAGTTGCTAGCATGATACGGGTAATGTTCTTCTCACATATTTTATGATGGTATGATACTAAACCCCTAACGGGAGGGATTGTACTTGATTTTCATATAATGCAGACATAATCTTTCAATCAGTTTAATTGAGGTCTGGAGCTGGCATGTCAGTAACTGCTAGTAGCCCTTTGTTAATTTATGTATCTTTGTTATTTTGCTTAGTTTCTTTTGTTACCTATTCTGACATTGGAATCGGACTTCTTTTAAACTGAGTTTTACTGTGCGTATCGCTGTGTGTTTCTTTATTCTAAATTGGGTAGAGGTATAGGGGGGGGGGTTGGGTTGAGATCTCACAAAACATGTTTAACCCCGCCGCAATTTTGCGCCTGTTCCGAGTCAGAAACCTCTGGCCTTTGTTAGTTTTGTATGTTTTTTAATTTTAATTCATTTATATGTTTTGGAGTTAAGTATGACGTCCATTTTCACTGAACTAGTACAAATTTTTATTTAGGGGCCAGCTGAGGATTTTCTCGCTGCGTTGAAGACCCATTGGTGGCCTTCGGCTGTTGTCTGCTCTTTGGCCGGGTTGTTGTCTCTTTGGCATATTCCCCATTTCCATTCTCAATTTTATTTTATACTGTAATATGAATATGAACCCAGCTTTGTACTAGACCGATTTTATCTTTTAATTAGTAAACAGTTTAACAGTCCTTAGGGAGACATATCTTCCTACCAGGACATTATCTTTCTGACTCAGGGCCGATCATTTGTTTTTACTCTTAAAGGGGTAGATCTCGGGTAATGGAGATCCAATCTTACAAAGATTTTGGAAATCAATTCTGCGTTTTAACCTAGCAGTAATTGACACAATGATCAAGCATTTATGTTCTTTACATTTGGTTATGATAATGATGCAGGAGCATCTACAAAAATTAGACACGTTCGACTCCCACAAAGCATTAAATTAAGGAATAACATATTTTCAAAATTCAAAAATCGTTGCAGAAAAGTTTGAAAATTAACATTCATCCTTGAATTGCTTTTGAAAATAAAAGTATGTACTGGGGAGTTTTTATGGAGTGACTCTTGATATATGATTTTGAAAGGTTTGGTACGAATTGATTAAGAAAAAAATAGATTGAATAATGAAGTTTTAAGGTTTTAGTACTCAGCTCTTGGTTAATAGGCTGTACTTCACTGTAAATTTCGTCTTTGTTTTTCAAATACAAACGGCAATACTAGAAAATATGTTCTGAACATCAATCCTTGTACAATCCAATGCTATCAGATAACCTACATTAGCACAAAGATAATACTTAACATATAGTAACAGACTGTCGAAACATTTAATCTAGCGCCTGCTCGTCCGATGACAGGGGTATTTTGTAGTCTGGGGGGACGTTTATAATATAGAAATGTCAATTTGTACCAAAGGTAATCGTCCCAAACTAAATATTACTGATTTCCTTATAAACTTACATATTGTTGGGACCATACAATTTCAATTAAAGAGAGTCTGTAGAAGGTTTTGTGAAGAAAAAAAAAAACATTTCCAAAAAATTTTCTTTTTTTTCTTATGTCTGTAAACCAAATTGGTTGAAAAGTACATTTCAAACGGTCATATTCAATAAAAGTTTGTGATTCTAAACATTAAAAAACAATAACTGTTTGAGCAATTGTTTTGCAGGTATTAAACGATATATTTTTTTCTGGCAAAGTTTGAAAAAAAAATATGCTATCCGAATTGTCGAGTTGTTCAGTAGTTTTAAACCACTTATTTACATTCAAATTACATATTACCATGACATTTCAGATTCACTTTAAAATATAAGTCTGCTATACATTTTAAAAGACATGGGTGTCTAAATGAGAACATGTGCATAAACACACAAAAATGTATGATAACTATTGTTTTCAATATCCCTCAGTTAGTCGTACTCAATATATCATTAACATAAAATGCAACGGTGAATTTCATTAAGGCTTTGGTAATTGATGCATACCCTTTCAATGGTGTAAATATATATTTATGTATTCATAATCGTAATGTTGTTCTGCTGTAGAAAGTCCCTTGTAGCTCTTGCAGTATGTGCACGTGCATTGTCATGCTGGAAAGTGTGTTTTTGGTGGCGTGCAAAATGTTACAATACATGTGGTCGTAGAACTTTATCAGTATACCAGGCTGTATTGACACCATTTCCCCTACCCGGTCCAAGATTCTGGAAGACAACAGGCCCTAATTTCTGGTTCAAGCCGATTCCACCCCATGCCATAATGCTTGGACCTCCCCATGCATCTCATTTCATCATGCAGTTATCAGCATATCTTTCGCCCTGTCTTCTCCAGATTCGTGTCCTGCCATCTGCATTTGAAATGCAGTAACGGCTTTCGTCTGAAAAGATAACCGTCCTCCACTGCTGATGTCGCCAATTTTGACGATGGATGGTTCACTGTAGTCGTTCACGGCGATGACGTGGTGTGAGAATAGGACCTCTGGCAGGACGACGACAACTCAGGTTACGACAATTCAATCGACGCCAAAGTGTATCATCACTAATTGGTCTCTGGTTAATGCCTATTGTCTGACGAGCAGTATGAGTTGCGCAGAGGAACTGGTTTTGCAGATTCTGTCGTAATATGTAGCGATCCTTACGCAATGTTGTAACTCTGGTGCGACCAGTATGAGGACGGTCATTTGTACTGTTTGTTGCATTGTAGCGTTCATGTAGATGTTAAATGGTGCGTACATTGCAGTTAAATGCATTTGCAACGACTTGAGGCGGCTGTCAAGCATTCAAACGTCCTATTGCCTGTTCACTTTGTCGTGGGTTCAGTCGTGGCATCAGTACTGCATCAAACAGATAATGATGACACAAAAACTTAGAACCTCTTAAATACCCTTAATGAGGCACGGATTCAACTTATTTTATTTTTCTATTGCGCTTCCTCCATTATTTGTGTATACATGATATAGATTATGCTGTATATTGTCTATTGAATATGTATATTGTGTAAATCCAATTAGCTGTATTTGATTAAAGAAGTAAGGTATCATCATTATTATTATCATCTATCTATATGCTTGTTTTGCATAATCGAGTACAAATCAATCGTATCCTTGCAAATTGTCAAAACAGTTACTGAAATAATGTATATTCCTTATTTTAGTAATTTTTATGTAATGCTTTCATTTAATATTTTATTACCTTCAATTTTAATAAGACAACATACAGGCTCAATTGTAGATTAATTAAAGTTTGTTTTGATTACGCTAAATAATACTTCGATACTTTATTTGCATGTTATAAAAATCATATACCACTTATTTTACGGCAAATGAATGAACTTGATTGGTATATCAACAGATTAACTTTTGTGAAACAAATGTGAGTAGTTAGAGGTCAATTAATTTATGACCAGTTAAAAATTAGCCAACTTATTCAATATTTATTAACGTCATAACTTTTGCATAATACAAAAATATAAAAAAATATACATGAAAGGTTGTATACGATAAAATACTGAAGCAACTCAATACAAAAAATATGAGATAGGATAAAAGCTACATAAGATACATCAAATGCCACAGTAATAAAACTTTGATATCTATGTACAAAACGTTGATCTTTGTTTAAAAAAGGGGTTTAACACACATTGTTTAAACCTTGATTTCTTAAATATAAAAATTCCAAACATTAGGTTCAAAATTAAATTCATTTTAAATATTTTGAATCTAACACCTTGATAAAATTAACATTCTAAAAGTATATTAGGTCAATTATCTACAGTATTATAACAATAAATACACACCGTCACTTCGCTTTTAAGATTTTATCATCTGCTCGTCTCCAAAAAGAGGAGCCACGCCACATCTAAATTTAAAAAAAAACCAAACAAACAAACAAACAATTCGATGGCACAATGGGATCGCCATGTCTTAAATAGGAACAAGCAAATAATAAGTACCCTTCTAACAATATTGGAAAACATAATGTTTACAAAAGCTAAAGTATTATTTGATAACAACGTAACAGTGACAAAGGATTTAACTGTATGTGTGGCTGATATATATTTAAGTATTCGTAATATAATAAACTGCTTTTAAAATTATTAAAGAAATATGATAAATCATGCATCATATGAAATGCATATCAAAGGCATTTGAACTAGAGGTTCTCAAGAGCCTGTGTAGCTCACCTGTATCTACTGTGGTTTTTTGAAATCATTTTTAATAAGGTTAAAATCATAATAAATAGTATTAGATACCCTAATAATGATTGAGGCCAAGTTTGGTTTGCACATGAAAGCAACAACATAGTCAGCTTTGAATAAGAAAAAAGAATGATTTATACTGCAACTAGTTGTGTTTATTTCCTAAATATAGTAACACCATTATTTTGTGCAATGTCATTTTCATCATGGAACACTTTTTCCACAATCAGGGGTTCATTAAGGGATGAAAATAAGTTTGAAATTTGTGTTACAATTTAAATAGCTATCAATGCATTAATTTAAGTTGCAGTATAACAAAAATATTAGGTCAATGTCATAAAAATATAAACCTTTTTTTTTGTATTCGGCACAAAACTGGGGTAGGGCTTGGTAAAACCTCCCTAGTTTCTCAGCCTCATACAAAAAAAACTATATTTTTCTGACATTGACCTAATATTGTATATGTACGAATTGTAAAACATGAAAAGGATAAATAAGTTCATTTATTATTATACTGCATAAATTGACTGACTAGAATTATTAAAATTGGTAACAAATATCGATAAAGATAAATACATTTAATCCAGTATTCTACTATGCAAATAAAAGGAAAATAATTATTTGGTTGCAGCAATACAAATATTCGGCGAATTTTTCAACAAAGTTTGACATACTCTGTTCAAACAATAAACATTATAAAACTAGACAACAATTGAATAAAATAAAAATCAGGGCGAATTGACCTGAGCGAACAGGTAGTAGGGCGAATAGATACTAGGGTGAACGGACCCGGTTCCTGAATACACAATTGATTTTATGTTTGAATTAGGTCACAAGCGTTTATTTCTTATTAGTACTAAATGAGTGTTCTTTCAAACATTGTTGTGTTGATGAAGCCTACATATCTATTCCTTTTCTATTTCAGATGAATGTGCACACTCAATACAATATTCAAGCACAAAAAATGAAAATTCTGTTTTTAAATACCGGGGGTAAAACGGAACAGCTTAACAGTATCATGTATATAGGGCTTTCACGGTTGACAAAATTACCGTAATTGTCCTATGAGAATCGAAATAATTCATGGCAGCCGTAGATTTGTTTTCAATTAACCATGGGTTGGGCATTTATGTTCCTTTTTCACCTCTCGCTAACCTCGGGATAAAATAATCGAATATAAATGCCCAACCCATGGTTAAATGAAAACAAATCTACGGCTGTCATGAATTATTTTTTGATTTTACCCCTATGTTCTACTTTTAGCCATGTCGGCCATGTTGTTTGGAAGGCGGGGTCATTGGACACATTTTTAAAACAAGACACCCTAATGATGATTGTGGCAAAGTTTGGTAAAATTTGTCTCAGTAGTTTCAGAGGGGAAGATTTTTGTAAAAGATAACAAAAATTTACGAAAAATTGTTAAAAAATAATTTTAAAGGGCAATAACTCCTTAAGGGGTCAATTGACAATTTTGTTCATCTGACTTATTTGTAGATGTTTCTTTGCTGAACATATTTGCTGTTTACAGATTATCTCGATCTATAATAATATTCAAGATAATAACAAAAACTGCAAAATTTCCTTAAAATTATCAATTCAGGGGCAGCAGCCCAACAACGGGTTGTCGGATTTGTCTGAAAATTTCAGTGCAGTTAGATCTTAACATGATGAACATTTTCACATGATGTCAGATTTGCTCTTAATGCTTTAGTTTCAGAGATAAAAGCCAAAAACTGCATTTTACCCCTATGTTCTATTTTTAGCCATGTCGGCCATGTTTGTTGGCAGGCGGGGTCATCGGACACATTTTTTAAACTAGATACCCTAATGATGATTTTGGCCAAGTTTGGAAAACTATGTCTCAGTAGTTTCAGAGAAGAAGATTTTTGTAAAAGTTAACGACGACGGAGTACGGACGACAAGTGAAGAGAAAAGCTCACATGGCCCTTCGGGCCAGGTGAGCTAAAACAATATTATGATGATAAAAGAAGAGGAATGAAAATGTCAGATAGTTACACATATTACATTACTGGCATAAGAACACCATGTACACGTACACGTGAAACTACAGAATGCAACAATAACTACTGATAAAAGTTTTATACATGGTGTGCACATAGTAATAAAATACGGAAAAATCATTTGGTTAAACAAACTTATGCAAAAATTGAAACATTACGGCCCGACCATTTTACGGATTACACTTGCAGACTCATGTAGGTTTTCTTGCACTGCCTACCTGTTATTATGCCTTTATTTATCAATAGTTGGAGATTAAATGTTTTATAATTTTCGCAGTCTTATTTTTCATGAAAGTGGGAAATTAATACTCAATGGAAGGGTGATGTATCCAAGCAAAACATTAAATATCCTTGACGTATCAAACAAACCAGTAAATTAATTACAATGTAATGTCAACTAGAACTTTACTCAACTAAAAGTAAAAGGACACATTATTACTTCTGTTTATATGAAATAAGAAGATGTGGTATAATTGGCAATGAGACAAAATCCAAAATGACGTGGATTTAAGCAGTAATAGTTCACCATAAGGCCTTAAGCAATAAGCAAAACTCATGCTGTAAAACCAGCTATAAAAGATCGCGACATAACAAAATGTGAAGCATTCAAAATAAATTATGTAAACAAACAATAAAAATATATCACATATGTAAGTTAAATAATTCAAACAAACATATAATTAGATTTAACAAAGACAAAAACAAAAATTGTATTTGAAAGTAAATATAATCTAGTACATTATAGTAAAGTATAAAGACATATACACACTCGCCCGATGAAGCAACAAAATCAAAATAGAATTACGAGGGTACACAAATATTGGAAATAACACTACAAATTGCATTCGTCTAAAGCTTCCCTATGGACCTACCTGCATCATGAACAATTAAGGCCAAACATTTGAAAGCCGGATCTGTAAATACCAAGCCACGAAAAGATTTATACGACCAAAAGGGACATAATAGTACAAAGACAAATGAAGGGGAAACTGTAAAAGTAAATAAAATGACACACAAAGCCAGAATCTAGAATATATAAACTAAGAACACCATACATTATTTCTGACACTGAATATTTATTTAAAAGTTCTTGATAACCTCCGATTAACGTTTTGCGAAAAAAAGAATAGGAAGTTCATTGACCAATAGTAGCTCATCAATATTTTGCTCAAACAGCGATAACGTTTGACTAAATCCTCGTGTCAGCTGCAAGCGTTGACATATCGTATAATTTCAGAAATGCATCCTTCATATGCAAGTGAAGTTTATTGCTACTAGGTTTTAATTGATACAACAGTGCATACTGTATCTGCTTTGTTGGCATAGGTTTATTATCTATTTTTTAAATGTTGTTGTAGGTTGGTGACACCATTAAATATTGGTCGAATTAATATGATTTGACCAGATCTCATATTCGTGCTGTATCAAGGTTACGATGTCTGCATGAAGCCTTTATTTCAGAAAGTGAACAATGTTTTGTATGTTAGTTTACTGTAATTAGTATGTTTACATCTGACGGGATATTACCTTTGCTTGACTTTCCAGGAAAGGGTTAATTTGCTTTTGAAACATGAATACTTCTTAATACAACAGCAGATAGGAAGTTATTAACGGAATTAAGTAGCGTTACAGAAACAAAACAGTATCTACTGTTGCCTTTATTCATGAATAGAAATACAAACTATTTCAAAACTTAAGAAAATCAACACAAAATCTTGAAAGATTCACATAAGGTATTAGACTCAAGTATAAAATACTATATGTCATTTCAAATACTTCTTAAATAAATGTTTCGTTTATAACTGTAGAACTATTTTGATTTGCTCCACTGTTACTAAAGATATAAAGAAAAGTGTTTTTCTTTCTTTAGCTTATTGGATATAACGAGATAAATCTAAGTCATTTGGTTTTGGCTTTATATTATTTGTTTTCGTGTCTTCATCTGAACACATACTAATGTCTTTATTGGCTTTAGTTTGTATTAAATACTTTTCATGCATTATCCTCTAGTATCAAGGTTTGTCCGCTGACTGTATCCTTTTTATAAAGATCGGTACCAAGCGAAAAAGTCTTTCTAAATTATCTCTTGAATCACACAGAAATGTGACATTACCCGGGCCTAAAATATGCCTCCTACCTAGAGTGATTACAATTTCTCGCCCTTCTTTTGACTTTCCATATTGTGGCACTATATCATATGGCCAATGACATTTTAATGTCCTTTTCTTTATGTCTTCTAATGTGAAGCCTTCAGGTTTAACATAAAGTCGGTATTTACTGGTTAATCCAAATTTCCAGGCATCTTTCCCTGGTTTGGCCATGACAATAAAACAAAGATCTGAAACGAAAGACAAAACAAATATGTAGTGCATTATTCTGAGGGTAAAAAGTACTTGTTCGACACTTCATGTAACGAACTTACTTGACATTACACAATTCAAATATTTAGCCACTCTCTTTGTACTTTAATTTTTACATTTCTTCTGAAAAAACTTATAATGTAGCCTGTTTATTATTGTGTTATCTGTATTGTCTTGCTATTGTATGAAATGATGTCGATTGTTTTTTTTTAGATATGTCAATATATTTAGAGGTTCACATCATTTAATTGGCTTTACAGAAAACAAATAGGATTTTTATATATGAAACATAGTATTACCATGATGAATATCAATCGGCATGATATGGGCATTTCTGCCCCTTGTATTCAAAAGATTTTTTTTCAAACATCTATCATACAAAATCCTTCAGATTAAAAAAAAAATACTTTGTCGGTTATCAGAATTTATATATTAGAAATGTGTATTGTATATTTGCTTTAAACGTACATAGTTCGTTTTAATGCAAAACTGCAAAAACACTTCTACTCTCTAATACCTGTCTACTTAATTTCGCGATTTTCAAATTTACTTGATGTATTTGAATAAGATAAGATCCAAGTTTGACAAGTTCGCGACGATTTATATTCGCGTTATTTATCTATTCGCGAAATTCGCGAAAATAAATTGCTCGCGAAAATAAGTTGGTTTACAGAATTGTATTGTAATAGTAACATACACAAACCCTTCCATCTTTTGTGACCTTTTTTCTATGTTGAAATGAATTGTAGAAATTATAATAACGTATTTCACCTATAAATCAATTATTCGTCAAAAACAGACCAATGTACCCATACTGCTCAAATTAACGCAATAACATGCTTTATTATATCTAGGTCAAAGGAATGACGTCTGGTCAGAAAAACGTTGAGCAGGAATCAAAATTATGTATTTTATTTTAAAAAAATTTTCGTGCAACTTTTTGTAACAACGATTGGTTAATTGCTTGTGTGATTAGCGTAGTGTCCAGTAGCAAATATTTCCTAAATGTTCAGTACAAGAACAAATTAATAAGAAATACAATAGGAAGGTTTCCAAGGTAGGAATTGATCTAGACGAAGGGCGGGAAATTTAAACTGCCACAGAAAAATAAAGATATGTTGGATATAAACAGTAATTTTGCCTTGCAATGGACCCCTCAAAAAGTTTTTGCAAGGTTTCTTAAACGTACAAAAACGTCGACGCTCTTACTACAAGAGGCATTGGATTGAACGTTCTTATTCTGACCGGACGTGGCTGCGAAATACACTCCGCACAATGAAATGGATTCTCCTTTTTCGCAAGAGTTATAACGGCAGCCTGAAGAAGACCAAGGAAATTCAATGATCATATTTCTATAATCCAATCATCCCATAGGGTCTAATCATTACGACATTATACATTTATACATTTTAGTTCCTGTTATAATATATACATACATGATTTTCATTTGAAACACATGTATATGTAAATCTATCATGTTAAACATTGATGAGGGTACTTGAATAAGATGAGAACATTATATGAAAAAGGGTGTTTTGAAAATTCCTGTTGTTCAGTCTGGTTTTCTATGTTGTGTTTTGTATATTATTTTTTGTCTTTCGGTGTTTTTTTGTTGTTTTTCGTCTTTTGACATGATATTGTAAATTTTGTTTTCGTCTAATGATTTTGATTTTCCCGCCTCACTTCTACTCATCTATTTATGTAAGTTTTGTACAAAAATTTTAAATCAATCAATACTTTACTTGTACCATAACTTGTATTCTAAATAGATCATTTCTAATTTAGAAATAAAATATTATTACAACAAACGTGTGTCATGTTCCGTGGTATGTATTGTATCATATTCATTTTCCAGTGCATGTTTGCATTTGGACACAGTAGACTGTGCTTGTTTATTTTTTTGTCTCACTAACGACATGTTATCTGGATCGGTCTGTTCAAAATATCACTAAATTCCGTATATGCGTCTCTATTATCCTTTCCCATTGAAGACGTATAAACTGTACTGGTCTGTTCTACAATTTCACCAAGTTCCGTATATGCTTCTCCCCTATTCTCCGGTGTCGTTAAAGACGTATACGCTTGGATGATCTGTACATCGTTTTCACCAAGTTCCGAGTATTCTGTCTCTTTAATATTCCGTATCATTAAAGACGTATAGTCTGAACTTGTCTGTACAACGATTTTGCCTCTTAATACTCCCGTTTCATTAAGGCCGTATAAACTGGACTGGTCTGTACAACGATTTCCCCAGTTTTAATTTTATTTTTCTTTACAATGTTTACAAAATCGTCCATTTGTAGAGAGATATTGACATCTGAAAGCTCATTATTATCGTGTATATTTGTGAGATCTTTGCAGTTCCTATGTTCCTCAGTGAGACATTTTGTACAACAAGAACATTTGTGTTCATGACAGTATGCTTGATAGTTTTCACTATGTAATTTGCAAGACTCGGCAATTTGAAGGAAACTTACAGGTAACTTTTGATAATCGGTCAGAGGTATAATACCATGACTTCTGTGTGCTTCGTTGAGAAGATGTTGTTCCTTACATTCTTCACAAAGCCCGGTGTTACATTCAAAACACCATGCTGTAGATGGTACAGAAATATGCCTGGAATCGCAGATGCCGCATACAGGAAATTTACTTGCCATATTTCTGAAAAAAAACATTTACTTCATAACACATTTTAATGGTAAAAGGCTTGACTGTCTAATCCTAGTTTTATCTACCCGTTATTTTCAAGCTGTTTAAAGCTTAACGCGACTGATTATCGTAGGATAAAAAGCTTGGGTTATCATAAAATGGTGATGGCAATCTTTTAAATATCAGATATTTAAAAAACGATATTTCTTTTGTTCATTCTGAAGCTACATCTTCCTGCAATACACACTTGTACAGACAATGTCTTAGTTTAAATTGATCATACACGTCACTATACACAATATGAGGAGAAAAAAACAAGCATAGTTATCATATCCACTGTACGTTTGTAGTCTACAAATTTTGGGCTTTTGTACATTATTTCAGGCAAACCAAAAATAAAATAGAGGTTCTATTGATCATGTTGATTTCCCTTGTTTGAAAAGTTTATTTTTTACATGTACTATCCTTATTAACTCTTTGAGAATGAGTTCAACTTCAGGGTCATGAGTTTTTGTTTATGTAATGCTACTAAATGCTTATAAATCGAGCAGAGAAAGATGAATTTGGATGAATATCTTTTGAAGTGGAAAAAAGTGGAAAAAATGTACTTACATGAGCAACACCACGGGTGCCACATGTGGAGCAGGATCTGCTTACCCTTCCAGAGCGCCTGAGATCACACCCAGTTTTTGATGGAGTTAGTGTTGTGCATTCTTTAGTTTGCTTATGTGGTGTTTGTATACTGTTGTTTATTTTTTGATCGATTTTCGTTTTATGCCATGGCGTAGTCAGTTTGTTTTCGACTTATTAGTTTGAACTTCCCTTTGATATATTTCACCAATTTTATATGTGGCATTTAGGTTTTTTTATAGCAACAGGTAGCCGCAGTAACAATTCTAATGATTACACATATGACCATGATAATTGTCTGTGTTGGGTTATTCTCTTTTCTAAAGTTACTAAAACACATGTAGCGGGGTCCGTGACTGAATTAAAGTACCTACGCCTTATTTTTAGCCTGGATTTTTAGTATTCGTATTGTCATCTAATAAGGTCATGCTGATTATAAGGTGCACAGTTTTTTCTGCTTTGAAAATCAAATTGGATCTCGTTATTTTAGTAAAATAGATGCCAGAAAAATTATGCAGAAATGAAAAGTAGAGGACAGGAGAAATCCTGTAACTGTTTAGACTAAATGGCGCCAATATCTGAAGCATGGAACTGAACGTTAAAAGGATTTCAATATTTAGTATTCAGAATCAAACAAATGGTTGCGTTATGACACGCATGGCTAAAACTGATCATTACAGTTTTGGGCATCTTGTGCATTTCAAAATGAATATAGGACTTTTAAAAAGGGTCCATGTTGATGACAGATTCAGGGGAAATGTCTCGACTTCATTCACTGTCGATGATCAAATAGGATATCAAATGTATTATTGTTGTATACTAACGTGCAATTAACTCTTGAAAGTTGACAAATGATATACATGTGTATGAACTTTATTTTATTTCATTATGCTTTAAACATAAAATCAAAGATTATATACCTGGTACCTTTATTCAATGTCCTGGTCTTAAAACCTTATTATACTCCAGTTTGTATACCAATCTTTGTGAATTACAGGTAAATTTATCAGTCTTGCGCACTAAACACTATTTGTATCAAAACTTATCACGCGGTTATCAATTGAGATATAGTCATGCTATTAGCTCACTGGTAAAAAATCCGGATATTGGCACATTGAAATAACAGTAAACTTTAAACAATTATTTTTACATATATCCATAAATGCTATACAGTGTTAGTTATTGCTGTAGAGGAAAATTTAGAAGTTCGAATGATATCAGCAACGCATTTTCTTTGTTTCTGAGTAAAATCAAACCTTCTTTACTTCCAATATAATTTTGGGTTTGCCGAGAACGTCATCTTCATTCTTTGTGCTCAAAATTTACTGAAATCTTCCAAAATTGGATTTGAGCTATCCTGAATAATATTATATAATGACATAGTACTGGCTTGATACTGAATCAACCTCGAAGTACACAAATGAAAGTCTGTTTACAGAAATATTACTGACCTTTCGGTATTGTTGTCGCCATGTCCTATCTTCAAGGAAGAATATTAAAATTTGTCATATCAACTTTTCATTTTAAAGGAAGAAATACTTTAAAAACATGGGAAATATGTACACATGAAGAAATTACACAGGGATAAAACATTTTATCACATATTTGTTACGAATACGTTGGGTTTTGCATATGCAATAACCTCAAAATTGCCCGGGGCAAAAAAGAGGTTATTGGTTATTGTGCCCTGATTCCAAATGACGTGACGTCATTGCGTCCTTAACGACAATGGCGAACAATGACGGTGCTCGTTTCATCGCAGTGGAGGAAAGCGATACGGCAGACTTTGTAGAGGAAATGAAAAACGCTAACACAAGGAAAAAAACTGAAAGTGGCATTAAAATTCTAAAGGAGTGGTTAAAAAGTGCCGGAGAATTACGCAATCCAGAGGATATTCCAGTTGAAGCGATGAATGTGTATCTGCGAATTCTGCTACAATGGCAACTAGTAACAATGCACAACCAACAGTTATAGATTTAGCCCCGATTATGCCAAATTCTCGCGTTTGTGTATTGCCATATTCCAAAATAAGTGGAAATGTGACAATAAATTTCTATGGAGTAAATGATAAAAACTAAATTTGAAAACTTTGATGTGATAAAACTTTTGTGATAAATTTTTTAAGATTTTACCTGTTATATTTCATTAAATTGTTATAATTGAACTTTTTTCTCTTTTCTGCAGAACTTAAATATGTGATAAATAGATTATAACATGTCTTTTCCATATTGGCCCTGGTATCATCCCTCGACCCATATTGGCCCTCGGCTAAAGCCTCGAGGCCGATATGGGAGTCTCGGGATGATACCAGGGCCAATATGGAAAATATAATCTATACAACCTAAATATCTTTAGTTGAATAAACAAATCAGGAAATCGAAACACGTGTAAACCTATTGTTAAGGCAAATTTTGATAAAACTTAGTAAACGATATGTTGAGAGCATAACTTATTTAAGGCACTTGAATTTTGCAATTTGGTCACGATTTTTATCGCTGGTCTATGATTCATAAACCATCAGAAAACTATAAAATCATTTTGATTGACCCGTCCTTATGTCATTTATTCCGTCCATCTGTGATCACTTTGTTGTAACCATGATTGCGCTTTTTTTTTGTCGGATCCTGTTTATTTTTCAATGAAGGATAGTCAGAAATTATTTAAATGGGGAACTGTTTTTGAGCGGGGAACATGTTTAAAAATATTCCATTGTAATTCTTGTCGCCAGAATAGCTCCTTCATATCTCCTCAGATCCTCTTCAAATTTGAATGGAAGCTTCCACTGATCGACATCTTGGATTAATAATGTGAAATACGGAACCATTTATTCGACAAAGGGGAAATATTTACATCTTTGATAACTATAGATGAATGTCGTTTTCATTATCAACACCTATATTCTTGATATAAAGAGCTACATCAAACCTACTAATACATTTCAATATTTAGATAGGACGTCTATGCATAACCCAACAGTCTTCTCTGGATTTATAAAAGGGGAAGCTACTCGCCACTACCGAAACAACAGCAGCACGCAGAATTTAAAAGATACAATTTGTAAATTCAAAGGCCATCTTAAGCAAAGGGGATATAAGGAGCATGAAATACATCGTAACTGTGAATCGGCTCTCAATATCGAACGATCAGAGTTACTCCGCTTTAAACAAGAATCTGACAAGGAGATACCACTAGTATTTGTAACTAAATATCACTTTTCGTTAGGAAATATAAATAAAGCTTTGCGAAAACATTATAAAAAACTACTTCGCAATGCAAAATGTAGGAAGCTATTTCCAAAACCACCAATGGTGGCGTATAGTAAATATCGGAAATTAAAAGAAATACTGACTAGCTCGGTAGTCAAAGCTTAGTACAACATGAAAGATTGGGTCAGGATCCCTGATGAAGCACCCTTCCTCTATATGAGCCACGGAATATTGTAGAGTTTGTCCTATTCTGTACTGCAGAAACACGATGTGTTGGGTCCTGGAGAATAGGCAAACGTGGCTGTTAGGTACTTTCAGACATTCAAAATGTTAATAAAGCGAAAGTATCAAAAAGATGAAGAAAGACTTAGTTACATTTTGTTTAAATCAAACGCCATTTCGTCAATCTCGCTCCTCATTGTAAAAATATAATAATCGTTCAATGATGTCTGACGTGAAACGAGTTTGCTTTTCGTAATGATGTTGTCATTTGTAAATTCACAGACCAATTCAGATTTCCAATCACTGTCAAATGACGACTCCGTAGTTGAAACGAGATCAACATCGTCTGTTTCAATTATCTGTACACACGAGTTTTGTTTTCGTTCCACGACTTCTCAATCCGGTGAATGGCTTTAAAACGATAATTTATCTACACAGTTCAGTGACAGAATGTCAGTTATGAATTTGTGGCAGTAAATATGTGCATCACGTGCATTTGAATAATTCAAAGGAAAGTTCCTTTCTTCTCCTTTTTGGCGACGGTGCAGCTGATCAATTTAACGTTTCCTTACAGAAGTTTCCGTTTATCAATGAATACATGTACACAAACAAGCTAATTGGTTCATAATAACAACTCACCAGTTGATTTAACTTCAAATACCCTCGGGGATACTCTGTCATCCTGTATTTGCTTAGTTACTCATGCAAATCATTAAAAGTACCTTTTGTTTTGATTGCTATGAATCGATTTTGACAGGTAATTTTTTAATACACGTTCACTAACGAGCCTTCAAAAAGCGTTCGGAATTCTTTATTGACAGGGTTCGGTTTGTTCAGGTTAGATTAACTTTAATTGATAGGGAAATTTTCTGGGACTTTGAAAAATTGTTCGGTTTAAACTGGAATTCATTTTTATCAGGGTTCGGTTTACCCAGGTTTCACTGTACATATATTTTGTGTTAATTATACCATTGTCAGCCTCTAAGAATATATTTGTTTATACAATTTACAAAATTCAATAAGGTGTGTATTTTATTTTAAACGACGAACTCAAATCACATTATATTTAATGCAAATGAGATGTCCCAAAACAGAAAATCGTGTTCACTGTGGAGCTTGCTTTAATTTTATCAAAATATTGTATTGAGAAAATAAGACAAATACATCTTAATGAACTTTCTTTATTATTTTCTTATAAACTCCATCGAAATTGATTGAATTATTAGTAAAATGGCCTTACAAACATATTTTTGTTATTAGTTTTTTTTTGGACAAAGTTGAGAAGAAGTCACTAATACGGAACGCTTCAATAACCTGATAAGGACATTTGATAGTACTTCATTGGAAGAGCATTTTTCATATGCGAACATATCTGTTTGGTAAGATTGTGTAGTAGTGTGTGTATGGAAATTAAATATGTCAACTGCAAAAAACTGACTACCAAAAGAAAGTAGCTTATTATAAACTGCTTAAGAAAGAGTGCCTGTATAAACTGGAAATATAATAAATGTATACGAAGTAAGTGAGGTAAAGGTAGAACGACCAACACATTAAAAACGTTAAAAAAGAAACTTTCAGGGCAAGTCTGTGTCAACGTATAAATTTAAATGCATTTGATAAAAAAAACGTAATCTTAATGTCAGCACGAGGAGACTTTATGTTAGTCTCCTCGTGCTGACATTAAGATTACATTTTTTTTTATTAAATGCATTTATACGTTGACTCAGACTTGCCCTGAAAGTTTCTTTTTTAACGTTTTTAATGTGTTGGTCGTTCTACCTTTACCTCACTTACTTCGTATACATTTATTATATTTCCAGTTTATACAGGCACTCTTTCTTAAGCAGTTTATAATAAGCTACTTTCTTTTGGTAGTCAGTTTTTTGCAGTTGACATATTTAATTTCCATACACACACTACTACACAATCTTACCAAACAGATATGTTCGCATATGAAAAATGCTCTTCCAATGAAGTACTATCAAATGTCCTTATCAGGTTATTGAAGCGTTCCGTATTAGTGACTTCTTCTCAACTTTGTCCAAAAAAAAACTAATAACAAAAATATGTTTGTAAGGCCATTTTACTAATAATTCAATCAATTTCGATGGAGTTTATAAGAAAATAATAAAGAAAGTTCATTAAGATTTATTTGTCTTATTTTCTCAATACAATATTTTGATAAAATTAAAGCAAGCTCCACAGTGAACACGATTTTCTGTTTTGGGACATCTCATTTGCATTAAATATAATGTGATTTGAGTTCGTCGTTTAAAATAAAATACACACCTTATTGAATTTTGTAAATTGTATAAACAAATATATTCTTAGAGGCTGACAATGGTATAATTAACACAAAATATATGTACAGTGAAACCTGGGTAAACCGAACCCTGATAAAAATGAATTCCAGTTTAAACCGAACAATTTTTCAAAGTCCCAGAAAATTTCCCTATCAATTAAAGTTAATCTAACCTGAACAAACCGAACCCTGTCAATAAAGAATTCCGAACGCTTTTTGAAGGCTCGTTAGTGAACGTGTATTAAAAAATTACCTGTCAAAATCGATCCATAGCAATCAAAACAAAAGGTACTTTTAATGATTTGCATGAGTAACTAAGCAAATACAGGATGACAGAGTATCCCCGAGGGTATTTGAAGTTAAATCAACTGGTGAGTTGTTATTATGAACCAATTAGCTTGTTTGTGTACATGTATTCATTGATAAACGGAAACTTCTGTAAAGAAACGTTAAATTGATCAGCTGCACCGTCGCCAAAAAGGAGAAGAAAGGAACTTTCCTTTGAATTATTCAAATGCACGTGATGCACATATTTACTGCCACAAATTCATAACTGACATTCTGTCACTGAACTGTGTAGATAAATTATCGTTTTAAAGCCATTCACCGGATTGAGAAGTCGTGGAACGAAAACAAAACTCGTGTGTACAGATAATTGAAACAGACGATGTTGATCTCGATTCAACTACGGAGTCGTCATTTGACAGTGATTGGAAATCTGAATTGGTCTGT